AACTAACCTTGACTCATCGTCCTCAAAACTCACAACATCGTACAGTTTAACAGTAGCAGTGGACAGAAACCGCCGAAAACAGATAGTCCGCTTCAGATTTTCCTAGACGCTCATCCATACACTGAAGTGAGTTCGAGTGAACTTCAACGAAAACAAATAGTCAAATATTAAATAAAAACGATTAATTTAAACAAATCGTTAACAATAAGAAGTAAAAATTAACATATTATGTAAACTTACTATGCTTAATAGTGGGTAATAATAAATTAATTAAATATTAGGGAGAAGCAAAATTCTGTCTGATTTAGTTCAAAGCCGTAAAGGAAGTCGGTACGTTCCAGACAATAAAAACAGAAAGCCCAGTTTATTTGTGATAATTAGCTCTTGGGAGGAACTTAACTGGGAATTAAAGCACTGGATAAATATTATTGGAATAACTTCAGGAACGATTTTACTGAAGCTTTTGTGTGCGGCTTATATAAGTTGGCGCGTACTGTTTTTGTTCACGCGCTCAATAATTAATAAATACTTATTTCCTTTTATTCTACAATTGATTTCAAATACACTTCCTCATTTATTAATGATAAATCTTCAGGGACGATGGACATATGTGTAATGAACTCCTTCTTCTTTGGGGTGAGGCGAATAAAAAGATTTAATCGTGATTTTCAATTGTTTGTCTCTGGAATTACTACCTCTAGAAAACAGCTCAATATGAAAAAGTCTACCATGTATAAAAAAAACTTCATTTCAGCCGATGGAAGGATTGAAGGGACGCGTATTGTGTGTACTTCCATTCATAGTTGTCCTAGATACGACCGGTATAAATCTATGTGATTGTTCCCGTAGCGCACTGTATCCTATCGCATCCAGGATCTATATAACAATTAAAAGTAACAGTCGCGCAGTTAAGTACAATAGATGCGGCGCGATGTCGACGTTAATTGGTCATGAGTGCGGCGTTAGAACACCCTGTATTTATTTTTATTTCACATCTGATATCTCTTTTCATGCTCTTTTCATTCGCCTAAGAATTAACAGCCTTTAAAGGTTAACTTTTTTATGTCCTTCCGTAAAGACCTCTGAAAATTCATATATATCATCCTTCAAAAAGCAGTATTATTAAATACGACAAGAATAACCCGCAAACTTCTACAAGCAAATTTCTTCACTTTGCTTAGGCCCGTGTCCAAAGTACAGAGTTACGAAATATAATAATTAAAATTGATAAATAAAAAATTAAAAAAATTTGAAAAGGTTGGTCCCTGTGGCAGTGTACCTTTAACTCTGGCAGCATTTCCTCAGTATTGCGATACTTATTCTTTGAGCGAGGAAAGCACTATCTCTGGGGTCACCGATACTATCTACCAGGCTTAATTAGCTGTGCACTTGAACCAAACAGCCCGCGAATCTCTACTCCAAAGGGAGGAGGAGGAGGGAAAAACAATATCAAAGTTGGAGGAAAGATTCTTATATTTGAGCCGTTTATTATTTTCATTGATCAGATTTTAAATTAATAATTTCACTTTCTGTGGTTTTCTCAAACAATCATTGCTTAGAAATTTAATAAGCAATAATCAATATCCTCGTGGCTCTGATTCACCTCTGCATTTGTGACTCTTTTCCTTTATAGGCAGGTGAACCTTTTGTTACTGGTACACGAGAGATTATAGAAAAAAAACATGGGTTTACACTCCCTTAGCGGCATAAATTTAAAATATATAACATAATATATATAAATATAATATAGTTGTGTAACTTGTTTTACTAGAAAATGTTAAATTTCTGTCTCATACAAAGTCTATATTCAAAAGGCAAATCTCCGAATGTAAACAAGAAAATCGTTAGGTTCCTAAAACGTAACAAATACAGTGACGGACGTGAGGTGAAAGTAATCCTGAAGGGCTCGTTTCCGGGACAAAAAGGAACGATAAATCTTACGCACGCAAAAAATCCCTCTCGAAATCATTAAAACATTTTACTATACTACAAATTAAATGTTATATTTTAAGGGTCGTTATTTTCACTACAGGAATTTCGTTAACATAATTAATATACATTTTGTATTTATAATAGCTACATAAAAACGAACAAACTACCTATTATTGAATATTAAACATACCTTATTCTTTAGTCAAATATTCCTGTCTTGATAAGTTAATTTTTTTTTTTTAAAAGATATGTACCTACTTTATCTAAGTATGTAATGTAAACAAACTGAATCAATTTTACAATGACAAAGAGAAAATCTTTTTAATTAATTAGAAAAGTAATTTTACATTTACTGCCAGTTCTCAAACCAACGGTGAAGAACGGAAGGGATGAACTGGCAATAAACACTCCACCACTCTTTTTAATCGCCAAGGTTAACCATTACACCATGTTCCACATGACATCTTAAGTTATTAATAGTTAATTAATAATAATAAAATAAATTAAAAACAAAGATTCGTCCTCTACCAGCAGGAGGCATGGTGAAATAGGAGCAGGCACTTACATTCTCGTGGAAACAACACGCAAATACAAATTTGTATTGCCCTTGGAATCAAACCTACTTCCTGTGCGTTAACCTCTCGACAGAGACAGTTCTTTATGGCTTCACTAGTCTTTTATCACATAGAATAACATTATACAGTCGTAACTGTAGCCTGAGTTCACTACGTATGTTCTCAAAAGTGCAGTATTATGAACTTCAATTGATTGATTCTGCTATCGAGTAATATAAATCGTTAAGCAAAAGGCGGCCACTCAAGTAATAGGGTAATGAATGGGCGGCCTATCCCAACTAATTAACCTTCGCTGTGGCGCGCATAAATCCTCTCAAACTATACATTACTCTTCGTTACTCCCTACACTAGTTTTTCACTTAATTATTTACTTTATCAAATTATATAGAATTTAAATGTTAAATTTAAACCGATCAGTGAGGCACAGACAGGTAGATGTTAGCAAGACTTTGATTGAAGGATTTAATTGACGTGATACTGCAATGTAAAAAAAATCATTGGCGCTACAAACTTTTTAGGTCTTGGCCTCTGATTACTCTATTTGTTTCCTGATCATTTGTGAATCTAATAGGCGAGTAGGTGATCAGCCTCCTGTGCCTGCCACAAGCCGTCGACTTTTTGGTCTAAGGTAAGTAAGTAAATTTGTTCATAAAAAAAAAAATTATAGTAGCCTTTTCCTGAACTTCTTACAAGAACCTATTGAATTAATCACATTTCAGTCATAAATGGAAGGTGGAACTTCATGTATAATGAAAAAGAGTATAAACATACCTAAGTAATTATATTTATACGTATTAGTTTATATCTAAGTCGCAAATAAATAAGTAAATTTTTGACATAATCTCCATTTGTTAATAGTAAATTTTATACAATGTCATTTCATGTATACGGGTGTTATAATGACGTCCCCAAATCGATCAAAATTATGCAATTTATGAACAAACACAAAAGCACAATGTGTGGCACATAACCCACTTAATCTATGCGATCAATCAATGACAATCTATTTAAAGCTAATTACGAAGTTCTGTTCGATGATTATGAAGGAACAAATTAAGGGATATTATTGTAAGTTTATGTATATACTACTACACATGTATTCAATAAGCCAATAGATAGACAATATAAAATAAAACTTGTAATTATTACAATAAAGAAATCGCTTATGCGAGGTCTCAGGCAAAAACTTTATATCTCAAAAATACGGCTAGTAAAATAAATGAATCACCAGCAAATGAGTAGTACATCATCATACTTTAAAAAATAATTAAATCGTACTTAAATAGTTCAGGGTTAAGGTAAAGAACCAATTTTGCATGCTTAAGTTTCGCGCAAACGTGATTGGATTTAGCTGCTCTGTGCCTCAGTGTAGGGCAAAAGAATTTCCTGCTTCCGACGCACTATTCAATTATGCAGGATATTACGATTTCTACAGAAAGCTCTATAAACCTATTATAATTCTTTATTTACTGTCAGAGTCTTCAGTCTAGTGGATAAACGTACAATTTTTCTCGTTTGGACACAGATAAACAGAAATCGACGCGATATGGTTACCGATACTTAAGATAAGATGAAATATAAATCAGTGACGCTACAACCTTTTTAGGTCTGGGCCTCTCAGATTTCTGTGTCTGTTTCATAATTATTTGTCAACCTAATAGCCAAGCGGATGATCAGCCTCCTGTGCCTGACACACGCCGTCAACTTTTTAGGTCCATATGTGGACAGCCAAGGATCGAACCAACGACCTCAAGTTTGAGAGACACGCTGATGCCACTAGGCCAACACTGCGCCTATAGAAACGATATTTAAAAAAAATATTAATCTGAGAGGGTGAGAATCTAAACCGAAAGAGGAAACGACGGCACGTAACGTTTGATAGTGATTAGTGATTGGTTAACAATGTAATGACGGTTATGACGTCGGTATATAGAATAGAAGGCAACGTGTCATCTTTTGTTTTACATTCTGATTCCCAAGAAAGGTATATAATAATTTATTTTTAATCTGAGAGAAGAATGTAGAAGAGAAAGGAGAAAAATCTTGAAATAAATCTATATTACGCCTGCATCACCCTAAACGCGATGATGTATTGATTACACTTTCACAACTAAAACTAATTAGATGAAGATAGATATTGTCATGTCATGAAGTATCTTTGGTATTCTGTAGTGCGTACACCCTGGTGTACCTACTATCTTCTTTGTAAACGATAAGTTTACTATGGCCGAATCAACCCTGAGAAGTTAATGATATATTTAACACAAGTATTCTTTTAATCATATGTCATAGTAAGCATTCCATATACGGCGTCCTTAATATATACAGTATATCTGAAAATAGGCTAAACCCACTAATAAGGAAGCAGTCGATCCATCACGTTGAAGGCTTTTTTGTGCTTCGTTATGGATTTGAAACGTGTTTAGTTTTTCTACTTGAGGAAATGTCTCAACCAACATATGTATTCTCTGTCTAAGAATACGTCTGAAATAGCTAATTTGTGGGTAGTAGTGGGTAGCTGTTTCTACAGTGATGCCTTAAAAATGCTGCAAGTTCGGAACGACGGACGGCGAAGACCGATGATGAAACACAGCAAATAAATCTACACAATTTTAATGGTAAATTGTCTTCGTCTATATGTTCGCTTTCTAGATTTGCAGCCGCTTGTGAGACCCCATCGTTCACTGGTTTGAGGTCGGAACATGCTCCGTCGGTGACGACCTTTATGCTCCGATCAAGCTGGAAATCCAGTGGAAATATATAATCCCTTGGACAGTCTTGGCAAGCGAAAGTTACTATCTCACCTATATCTTCACATCCTAATTTTTGTTCTCCTGAGCTGGTGGCTGGTTTACCCACGAACATACATCAGCAAGATTTTTTTTAAGTGAAGTAACAAGTATATTGTCTATATATGAGGCTAAGCATCTTAAAAATGTATTAACATAAGTGCACATATCCTTTGCTTATATTAAAATAACTAAACTAAATATAACTTAAGTAATAATAAAAGCATGACTTAGGTTACACTTGTAATCTAAGCCATTTAAATTTTTATGGAAATATCAGCCTCAGTTTATTCAAACAAATCAGTTACTCTGAATGTTATGTATTTATACTCGTAACAAAAATAAAAAGTAGCTTATATATTTTTTAATTTGACTATCTACATAAATAGTCTTGCGTCTTTTCCTTATTAACCTATTGTTACTGTTCTATTTATTTCATAATGTTTGGCAATGCTACAATTGGATTTCCCACTGAAAACAAAAATTAAAATGGACTTAATATAGTTTAAATAATATCCACGCTACCTCTTTTCTCTCCATCCCACTAACATTTGGATAATGAAGTTGCTATAGTTCCAGAATATCATATTTTTTAATATTAAAGTCAAACTTCAAAATGGAAGATTTCTTATTTTAATAATAACAACAACAATAAAATAATATTTTAGTAATAACAAGCATTTGAAACGCTCTCTGAAAGAAAATCTATTACTATATCACTGAAATACAACGCTGTCCAAGGTCAGAAATTCGTTTACCTTATAAAAACTTTAATATTCTGATCCATCTAGTTATTACTCAGAATCTATTTTATTTGGAAGAAATTAAGGTTTCTGTAGTTTGTCGTAAATCTCGTCAAGCCAGGCTCTCCTGAACATTAAGTTCACGAAAGCTAAGTAACGACACATATGAGGAACACAAAGAAGAGTTAGAGTACACAGAAAAGTGATTTTATTCTTGCTTTTAAAGACAAAAAATATTGCAATACTAGTGGTTATGACTTAACTTAAAGTAGACGAATAATTTGAACTTACAGAATAGATTTCTGATCCAATATTCAACGCAAAAAAAATCACAAAGCCATAAATCATCACCATGACGACAATCGGTGAAATTAGAAATAAATTTCATTCGACATGCAGGGGACGAGTCTGAACCATTTTATTGGTGTATTTGAACTTCAATAGGGCGCATCAGGTGTGAAAAATGGTGTCGGTTTTCGGTAGATGAGTTTTTCTTGGCTGACTGAGCTGAAATTCACTGAATGTTGAATATGTTTAATGTTCTATTTGGTTGCTCTTTTTGTGTGTGCCAAATTTACTTTACACTTTAGTGAATTCGAGGTGTTGGAGTGTAGATAAATTATGTTATATTAAATAATCAGTAACATGGAGGTATGTTTATATGTGGAAGGAATAGTAATTGCTGATTTCAAGTCGACGTCTATTTTTATTTAATGAACTAGCTGACCCTGCAAACGTTGTTGTGCCATGTATATTATTTCTAGGATTTTTTTTAAAATTATAATATGATTGTATTAAATTTTTTATGTTGTATCATAAAAAGTAAAAACAAATTAAAAAAAAATTTTTTTTTTGGGGTGGACATCCCTTATCATCTAGGGGGTTGAAAGATTCATAGTAGCGATTCTCAGACTTACTCTATATGCATAAAAAATTCAAAATCGGTCGAGCCGTTTCGGAGGAGTATGGGAACAAACATTGTGACACGAGAATTTTATATATTAGAAAATTAAAACATTACTCATCTGTTTTTGTAGCTGTTTTTCCATTCGATGCTATATATAAAAAGCAATAATTTTACTTGTAATAAAATAATTCTAATATAAATGATTCCTAATCCAGCTAGTTTATGAAACATTAACACTTCATAGTTGAAAATGAAAACTTATCATTTTAAAGTCAAGTTCCTACAACAACTATTTTACATTTATTTAAAAGTTCTAAAACAACATTCATGCTTCAAAATAAAAGAACAGGTAAATAACTATTTAGGTCACTAATAATGTATCTGTAAAACTATTTTAAAAATTCCCCTCTATATGAAACTACCTTTTGCAAGGACTAGAGTTATTTTTTAATATTTTAACTTGTAATTTTGACTTTTCTTGCCTTTTTAATAGGCCTAATTGAAATAAATGTTTTGACTTTGTATCCTATTGAACTATTTCTTCTCAGCAATCAGTCAAATTATAATTAAATAATATAATTTTTATGCTAAAGTCTATTAGTCTAATAAGTCACAACACATTAATACAATATTTAAAAAATAAAACTTAAATATACCAACTTGAGGTTTGTTAATTATTGGTTTATGGCGTTTTAAAAGACTAATAATAGCATCATATAATTAGGAGCCAAAGAGTACATTATATATGTGATATATGTCTGTGATGTAACATAAATACATCGTTTATATTCGTTACAGAAGTAGAGGGAGATATAGCATAAATAATGTATTATTATATTTATTTAATAAGCCCCTATTACATGTGGATAAAATTTACCCAGTAACCGGATATATAAGCCAAGGTCTCGCAGATGTGCGGTCGTCTTTTCAAAACATTGGGTTGAAACTGTTTTTACAGATGTTATCTTTAATAACAGTGTTATGGGATTAGTATTCTTGTGGTTAAGTGATGTTTTTTTGGATCTTTTCTTATCGTTGAGGGACTTTGCTTTAATTTATATAACATAGAGTGTTTCTATACATACTTCATTTCTTGCTTGTGATTTTACCTATCTTGTCCTTCATATTAGATTGGACCACGAAATAATGAGATATTTTAGCCTCTGAACAAATAGGACTGAAATAATAGAAAAATGTTGTCAATATATATGCCACTACTAGTCCAACATTGTGTTCTTTTAAATCGTAAATATATTAGTATAAGATCCCGATATACAACGACCTTCACCGAGATGCTTTTGTAATGAAACGTATATTATATTTAATTTAATATGTCAATAAATATAATCCATATGGGTTGCCTAGCAAATTTCAGTCCAGAGTATGTTTAATTAATATTAAAAAAAAAAAATGCATGAAGTAAATTTTATTCAATCAATATTTTTAATCAGGGTAGTAGTTTATATGTATCACTATAACCTTCTTTTTTACTGAAGATGTATATATAATTTAGTGTCACATAAAAAATATACACATAAATAATTAATTGATTAAAAACAACCAAACGTTTGCATATTCTATGGGCTTCATACTTTCGATTGGTATAGAATTTATCTAATAATCATACCGCTGAAATGTTTAAAAAAATATTTTTTTTTAAATATTAATATTAATTAAACATACTCTGGGCTGAAATTTGCTAGGCAACCCATATGGATTATATTTATTGACGTATTAAATTAAATATAAAATACGTTTCATTAAATAAGCATCTCGGTGAAGGTCGTTGTATATCGGGATCTTAGACCATATTGAGTTACATATATATATATAAATACTTCAGTTATGTGAATAAAATTTAAACTATTGTAACGACGGTTCTGAGATGATTTAACATTTCCTAATATTTTAAACCACAAATATTTCGTGTCAAAATGACCCCACGAAGCCGCAAATGGGTATGTATCGGACCCCTAACTTCGTCCCTCGAAAATAAACTCAATAAGGATCAAGCCTTGCAAATTCTTGTCTTTGCAAAATCTTAATTTAATTTGTGAGAAAATAAAGGGAGGCTAAACAGGAAGAATTTATAAGTGACACAGTTCTTGAAATACAGGAGTGGTTTGACAGTTTAGTGTGATCGAGAAACTGCATATATATCCATTGAGGATTTATAGATATATAGGCCTTGAGGCTATTACTTCTTATTTATTATTTATATTTTAGAAGCATTGTTTGCCTAATGTTTTTTTTAAATGCGGTTGGAGAACGAATCCATTGGTGCTCTGTACAAAAATCTATTTTAGTTTTTTTTAATTAATTAATTATTAATCTTCTAGTGTATTAAAGATGCATTTAAAACAACTCTATAATTACTATAGTAGAAATTTTATGTATCCGACATTTCTTTAATGAACACGAGGCAAACTGCTCATCTGATATTAAATTATACGTCTGCCCATTTTTATCACTGACATGTAGATACGATTTTTTTAAATTTAAGTGTTACTGTTCGCGTAAACTGTGCCTGAAGGATTATTCGCGTGACCTTGGCGACGTCCCTCGAATAAGCAAAAATGTCTCTAAATAAATCTATTTTGTTGTTGGCAACAGAAATTCAGCGGATTAACGAAATAAGCAAAGATTTATTTTACTTGTTCTTAGACTAACTTATGTATTAACTTTATGAATGTCATTTTGTTTCTTTCATTATACATATTATTTTACGTACATAATGAAAAAACATTGAAATTATTTAAACTTAGATATGTGCAATTAAAATGAAATGGTAATGTTAATATTTTCTAGGTTGTATCTTAATTATTAGGTGGGCAGTTTTTCCGCTATATTGTTATTTTAAAATAAATAAATAAATCAGTGGCGCTAAAACCTTTTTAGCTCTAGGCCTAAGATTTCCGTATCTGTTTCATGATAACTTTTAAGACTAATAGGCAAGAAGTTGATCACCCTCCTGTGCCTGATACTCGCCATCGACTGGGTCTAAGGCGAGCTGGTTTCCCTTCACCATTGGAGCGAATGTTAAATGCGCACATGGAAAGTCCATTGATAAACAGCTGGGGACCAAATAATATGAATTAATATATGTAAATCAGTTTTGCATAGGCAACATATATTTATGTCTGTAATCAAATTTTATCTTTGTAGATAAATAGATAGTAGTGTAGTGGTTCAGCGTGGTTCATTCAGATGGTGTTCAGACCTCGTGCATCAACGGATTTTTATGTGTACTTGCACTTACTGTGGTACCACCTGTCCAGCACTGAAGACCTTCTAGCCAATGGAGGCACATATACATTAATGCCTTGTCTATAAGGCGTAAAAAAAACGAACATAACATGACATATGACATGACATTGGCTATAATTGATCACTTTTGCTCCCTCCAATGCCCGTTTATTGATATTT